ATTTTTTAGGCCTAACTTTTGGAACAAATGTTACAACTAGATCTACTAACATAGTCATTATATTTGTCCCAGTGCAGTTCCTAGTTTAATAGTTAGTATAGGTCTAAGTATGCCTATAATATAGGCTACAATTTTTATAATGATGAACCTAGGGTTTAGAAATAGTTATAACTGCAATTAGACCTAAAGTCTAGTACATTAGTTGGTGTAAGACATGATTTACAATCAGCCAATACAATTACAAACCACTACATTAGGCCTATAATGTTTACTAGATCTAGATCTAGGCCTTGCCTGTTGCATATGTTGCCAATCTTGCACACCAGTCAATATGTTACATCAATCTCGTATTTTCTTTTTGTTGAACATACACTTACTTGTATGTTGTACTCTAGGACTTGTATTTGTTCTACAGATGAATGATGGAATAGTGTAATTTACTTCTGTACGTCAATTCGGTCTCACTGTATTTCAGTGGGCGGCTTTTACAAGTTAAAACTGCAAGGGTAATACACACAAATAACGTAACGCTGTGTCGTATTTACTTAACGTAGTGCAGTTGCGCTATATCCTAGGGGAGGGCATACTTATTAATTAATAGGCATTATAGGCCAGAGGAAATTTTGCGCCCCTTCACACCTGCACCCGGGGGCGACTGCCCCCTTGCTACGCCACCTCGATAATTTTATCTTTCTCGTGTTTATTTTCATCTTCTTAAGGTTTGATTATTAAACATTTTGATCAACTACAGTTTTTTTAATATACAGTCATCACCTGCCAAACCCCTCCTGTACCATCCTATGGTTCTGTGGACATCAAACCCCCAAGTAGGACAAACTCAATAAGTCGTATTGGGTCGCCATTCTTGAGGTATCTTTGTATTAAATATATGTCTAATGTTTATGAAACAATATATTAACATTGTATATAAAAACTGACTTAAGTAAGCAGATGCATCTCGATTTACAGAATGTCTTTGGGGGAGGGGAGAGAAATAATTTCTGGTGTCAATTTTTTCCAGTTCTGTATTGACTACTACAACCCAGGTTGTCACATTTTTATTTTCTCTGGATTATACATTCTGTTGTAAAATCGTTGATACGCTAGTATTAACTATGGCTTCTTTTAAAACTTTTATTGTCAAGTCCTGGATTATAAAGTATGATTGTTAATTCGGTAGTGCCGCATATACTGGAATTTGGAGTTTGGCACCTTCTTACACGCAGAGATTGAGGACATTACATTGAAATATTTTTATAGTCATCACGGTCCACGTCTCTATGTCATACTTTCGCTGACAACTGTTAGTCTTCTGAAGTGTTGTTTACATTGTAAAAGACTCCGTCAGTAGCTGTTGTGTCCAATGTACATCACTCTTCCCTGCTGGCTTCCAATAATCCATCTGGTGTAGAGGACAACAATTTCCCTGCCCCAGTTTGAACAGTCTGATCGCACAAATATCCATAGGCAACTTGACTGCTATGTGTTTGTGTGAGACCCTGACTGGTATATGTTTGTGTGAGACCCTGGCTGCTATGTGTTTGTGTGAGACCCTGACTGGTATATGTTTGTGTGAGACGCTGGCTGGTATATGTATGTGTGAGACCGTGACTGCAATATGTTTGTGTGAGACCCTGACTACAATATGTTTATATGGAATACCATGAATAAGTTTCATACCCCAGTTGCTTGAGGTATGCGATGGTCTAACGAATATGTCATGGAAGCAGCACGTGTACACCTGACTTGTGTCCGTTTTGCAGATGAGATTCTTGGATTATCATATTTCCAAAACCTGCATTTTGTTTATCATGGCAGGCGTACAACTTGTTTTAGAGCACTAATTGGCTGGTCCTGGTGTCCCAAGTTGATCGATATCCCCTTATTTTACAATGCCATTAAGTAAAAGGGATATCCTCGTCTTTATGATTTGAGGACTAGTATATATATCATTCGTAAAAAAATTAAGTTTTCTATGGCATCACACTACTTACAAAATGCAAATAACGACAAAATGTAGTTCTGATACATTCCGTTCCACTGTGACTATATCGACAGTGGTTACCAAATGTCTAGCTAATCTGTATAGTCAGGATTATTTTAATATAACGTATACACAACTCCTCTAGGTGAAGTGTTAAATTCGTTTGAAAGATATATTTATAGCCTGTAATAAATTAAATTTACTTGAAATCCATTCTGACATATTTACTAATGAAATACGTTATAAGTCAGCAATCTAAAAGGTTAATGTCAGCCTCTTTTTCAATAACCTAGGTTGCCACGGTTACCCCTCCCTTTAGCCAGAGCAGCCAAACCTCCTCCAAAAGCCAGATCCTCACCACCCTCTACTGTGGACTTGGCTTCCAAGGTCAAACTGCCTGAAGGTCATTACCGAGTGGGATCTCGAGCCAGTTACACGTGCGAGTCAAGATACTACGAACTGCTTGGATCCCAAGGTAGAAGATGCAACTCTAATGGAAAGTGGAGTGGTCGACCAGCAAGCTGTATACCAGGTAACATTCGTTTTAAATGGTATTTATCTTGAACTGGTTCCAGAAAAAACAAACATCTGTGTATTGGTTCATCAGAAAAAATCCTAGACCTAGTTTTACCATTGTATTGAGCCCCATTTATCAATGCTGAGAGAAATAACAGCAGACCAATAAGGTAACCTAACACAGCCCACTATTTAAGAAATATATCGATGTTAAGAAGGTTGGTAAATCGTAAACTATGATAGTAGTTCATAATAGGGATCGCGAGGAATTGCACAAGGCAAAAATTACCTTAAACAGTAAAGATTCAGTTCACACAACACTTTAAAACCTTTACACTGACTGCTAAGACTTTACACATATAAAAATGCACAATAAAGTGTGCATGTTAAAATTATAGGGAAAACAAAAGCCGCTAAAAACGGCCTGTTTGTAATAATTTTTACTATTGTCTTGCTTGCCTACAACAAAAACAGCTAGGTATATTACACCCAAACCTCAGGTAGAATACTAAATAAGGTTCTGCAAAGGTCGTAGGAGTATTGAAAAGTTGATTTGTTTCTTCGATATTTTACATAAGCTAAAAACATCATAATTCTAGTGTAAACGATGTTATCATTACCTCTTGAAGTTAGCTTTATTACGAATATCTGATGTTCCTTCAAAACTTAAGTACAGGGTGAAACGGAATTATTAGCCAATAATGGATGAACACTAGATGACTGTAACATGCACATACTCAATGCTTTGTACACTATACAATCGATGTCTTTAGGGGTGCCCACCCTTATATTATGTATTAAGTGAAGGAGTAAAAAAATTCAATATACATGATATCAAATTTCATTACATACATTCATAGAATAATTACTTTAAAAGACACGAAGTTTTATTTAAATCGATGTTTTAGATATATATGTTTTATTTGAAAAGGCTGCTTTTCTACTGGTAAAATTTTATACATGCTTAGTGGGGTTTTAGTCTAGGTATAAATTTGCCCATTGCTATGCATTATATACAGAGATTTATTTTTCACTGTTTAGTTTGTCGTTGAATATAGTAACGTAACTTATCAACAGATGGCAGCAGTATTTAAAAATGATAGGAAATATGCAGATAAAATTTATTTCGTTGTTCACACTCTTATACACATTTTTTTCACTGTTCATACATTTTCCAGTTTGTGGACGGTCAGACTCTCCCCGTTCTCCTTTCATCTTCAATGGAAATTCCACCGAAATAGGTCAGTGGCCGTGGCAGGCAGGAATCTCTAGATGGCTTGCAGATTATAATATGTGGTTTCTTCAGTGTGGAGGAGCCCTACTGAATGAGAAATGGATCATTACTGCAGCCCACTGTGTCACCTACTCTGCTACTGCCGAGATCATTGACCCAAGTCAGTTTAAATTCTACCTGGGCAAATACTACCGAGATGACAGTAAGGATGATGACTACGTACAAGTAAGAGAGGTAAGGTATCCTTGATAAAGTGAAGAAACACTTTGTTTTTATAAATCGAAAACCACATACATTTTACATTGTCCCTAAGACATTTATATATATGTCCCCCGCTGGGACAGCGGTAAGTCTTCGGATTTACAACGCTAAAATCAGGGGTTCGATTCCCCTCGGTGGACACAGCAGATAGCCCGATGTGGCTTTGCTCTAAGAAAAACACACACATATATATATATATTTCCAAATCAAGAATACGTGTAGGAAATTCATATTGAAACAATTATATGTTAGAAAGGAAAACAATTTCGAGGCTTAATTCTTTTTAGTTTGTTGTTACGTTTTAATGAAAGTTAAAATGAATCGTTATTCCCCTAATCTCTTTACGTAAATATTTATGATCGTGTTACTTAACGCAACATAATAGAAATAAAAACAACAATTAAAGTTTTGTGGAGTACTTGTCCTATTGCAGTTCGATGCACTAATACTTAGGTTCACCTTTCAAGCTTCATGCTGAAATATTGTCCGTTGTTTTTTTTCCTTCTAGAGTCGTTTGTCATGTAGATGCTAGTAGACCCGGTGATATTCAGGTTCACTGATGTGCACCAGAATGATCTGGAAATGTAATGCTTGTTCACAAATAATATTTTCTTTCGTGACCAGTTTCTGTTTTACTGGCTGCTGGAGCTGGAGAGAAAATTTCCAAAACTTCCAGATACGACCAAGAAAGGACCAATAATAATAGGCATCTGTACAAGACAAGGACAGAAGCAAGAATAATGAAATACAATACTTTCAAATTAAGACCCCAAACCGTTGATTACCCACGTCGATTTCTGTCTCTCTTCAAACTGAACTCGAAGTAGTTGTTCTGATGCGGAACTACACCCCAAAATAGAAAATCTGAGATTAATATGGTGCAAATCTTGGTCAGCGGTTTGTGGTGATCTTTCTCGGGGACACTCTCACTGTGGTGTCTTGACCACACACACATGTGGCCCATGCTGCTATCAGATTGGTCGACGTGCCACAAAAACCGGAGGCAACGTTTTTTTATTGCTTCAGAAATTGGTGGCATATATTGGTTCTTTTGCAGAGTTCTGTATCTGTAGTATGTATAGGATTCTATGCAAGCACCACTGATCAAAACCAGTTCACATGTGAAAGAAACTGGACACCATGTGAAAGAAACTGGACTGTTACAGTTCCCATGTGAAAGAAACTGGACACCATGTGAAAGAAACTGGACTGTTACAGTTCCCATGTGAAAGAAACTGGACAGTTACAGTTCCCATGTGAAAAAACTGGACAGTTACAGTTCTCATGTGAAAAACTGGACAGTTACAGTTCTCATGTGAAAAACTGGACGGTTACAGTTCTCATGTGAAAAACTGGACAGTTACAGTTCCCATGTGAAAGAAACTGGACAGTTATAGTTCACATGTGAAAGAAATTGGACATAACTGTCCAGTTTCTTTCACATGGGAACTGTAACTGTCCAGTTTTTTCACATGAGAACTGTAACCGTCCAGTTTTTTCACATGAGAACTGTAACTGTCCAGTTTTTTCACATGAGAACTGTAACTGTCCAGTTTTTTCACATGGGAACTGTAACTGTCAGTTTCTTTCACATGGGAACTGTAACAGTCCAGTTTCTTTCACATGGTGTCCAGTCTCTTTCACATGGGAACTATAACTGTCCAATTTCTTTCACATGGGAGCTGTAACTGTCCAGTTTCTTTCACATGGGAACTGTAACTGTCCAATTTCTTTCACATGGGAGCTGTAACTGTCCAGTTTCTTTCACATGGGAACTGTAACTGTACAGTTTCTTTCACATGAGCACTGTAACTGTCCAGGTTTCAGATTCATGCACGAGGATTAGCAATATACAGGTTCTGTACAGCAAGCGCTTGGTATGCATAGACAAAATGCATTTACAGTTGTTATATATTGAATTTAAAAAGCTGTTGCTGTATCTTTGATAGATCTCCAACTCACCAAGTTGGTGAAAAAGTCAACATTAGCATTGTTGTTGCCTGCTGATATCAGGTTATTCAATGTAGAGCTTGATACTGATATTGACTAATAGATGTATGCACCTCATTCAGTGGATGATGACCTATCACGTTTGGATGTACAATCCAGAATGCTTCTACAGTCAGTGTCTGATATCACTGCACTCCAGGCTGAGCCTAACGGTTCCCAGAGTAATCCCTCTTGCTCTGGCCAGATACCATCTTAGGAATAAAACATAAATAATATCTAGTAGCCTTAGCAGAGCCTGGGAGTGAAAACTAAATATTTATTCCCTATCTTTGAGATACAACCCCCCCCCCCATTCCTAATAATTCAACTTCTATGTTAACACAAGTTAAATATCATCTGAATAAATAAATAAAATCAAACCGATTTCGTAAAAACCCAGAGTTATATTCGTATAGAATATTGGTTCCAAGCCCCAGCCCACACGGAGATTTCACTAAATCCATAAGAAAGATCTGTGTTTAAATATAGCTAGTAAAGTACGTTATTTCACAATGTAATTTAGAATTACTCTAAACATTTGTATAAAGTGTTGTGTGAAATTTTGTGATTCTGACTAGTTGGAAAAATGTTGAGAACCAATGAACAGTAGACATTACAAAATTCTTACAGGGATTCCAAGTTGTTTATTCCACAATTTAAGTACACTATGGACATTACTTGGTGATTATTGACAAACACTAGATGTGTTGACGATAGTAACAGAAGTTTGATTACGTGTTGAACACTGACAGACACTAGGTGTGTTGACAATAGTAACAGAAGTTTGATTACGTGCTGAACACTGACAAACACTAGATGTGTTGACGATAGTAACAGAAGTTTGATTACGTGTTGAACACTGACAAACACTAAATGTGTTGACAATAGTAACAGAAGTTTGATTACGTGCTGAACACTGACAAACACTAGATGTGTTGACAATAGTAACAGAAGTTTCATTTCGTGTTGAACATTGACAAACACTAGATGTGTTGACGATAGTAACAGAAGTTTGATTACGTGTTGAACACTGACAAACACTAGATGTGTTGACGATAGTAACAGAAGTTTGATTACATGCTGAACACTGACAAACACTAGATGTGTTGACGATAGTAACAGAAGTTTGATTAT